AAGAATATACGCAGTGTATTATTTGTTGAAACTGTACTTCCGATTTGACTTGAAACTGTCTCATTGCTATCTGTTTATCAATAAAACTTTGAAAAAAAAAAACTAAGATTTGGAGAAACTAGAAACATAAGGATGGAAAACTGGTTTAATTTGATTTTAGGTGCATAAAGAGTTTTTCTTCTTTACAGAAAACTGCTAGGAGACTCTTGTGCCTTTTCACCAAATTATAAGGAAGAGTGACATCATAAATCTTCCCCAATTAGAGCTGCATATCTAGCCTACAAGTAAGCACAGGGGCTGGGGGTTCGTTCCCTGGGCCTGCTGTGTTGGCCCCGCCCTCAGGCCACCTGAGTGGTGGTGCGCCTGTAATTGCAGCTCTCGGGGGGCCACAAAGAGGCAGATCACTATGAGTGTAATCTAGGATCTAGTAGTGAGACCCTGAACACCCTGTAGGCCCTTCCTTAAAATACAAAAAACCAAAAACGCTGCATATCTTGCCCAAGAACTCAAAATTCTCCATTCTTCCTTCTTTTCATTGTATTCCAAAATGTCATATCAAGTGATAATTCTTTTTGTCTTTTTGAGACAGGTTTTGCTGTGCAGTTCACTCATTTTCTAGCCCAAGCTGGCCTTGAAGTTGTGGTGCTCCTTCTGCCTCAGCCTTCTGAATGCTGGAATTACAAGCATGAATCACCATGCCCAGCAAGTGATGATAGTTTTAAAGATAATGACACTCTAAATTTTATTTATTTATAACTTCTTTACCTTTATGAAACCTCCCCTTTGTAAGAAAGCTGACTTTCTCCCCCTCCTCCACAAAAGAATTTTAGGGTCAAAATATTCTTATATTTTCTCAAATTAAGTGCAAAACATTCCTTGAGTTCTGTGACAGAGTTATAGGAAGTAGGGATTCAAATGAGGCACAAGGACTTGAATCTCAAGTAGGGTGCCATCACTTCTTTAGGAAGAATCTGGACTGGGCACGATGTTTAGAATAGTAAAGGCACTGAAAATTAGACTATTAGCTTACACAAGTGCAGGATTTCTCCAAAAACCAAGAGCATACTTGTCTGTAGACATCCTTACATATGTGCAAGCCTATTAATTACTGTTATCTTCTGGAGAAAGGAAGATTTTGTGAATTTTTTTTTTAAAAATATTTATTTATTTAGTGTGTGTGTGTGGCCAGCTCAGCCCACCAGGGGGCGGGCCTGGCTGGCATGTGGTGCTAGGGATTGAACCGTGGTCCCTGTGTTTTGCTTAGCTTAGCTTGTTCTAAGTAGGTGCTTTAGACCACTGAGCCATCTCACCAGCCCCTGTGAAATTTTTATACTTACCTTCACTTAATAAATGCTCTACAAGGATACTATAAGTGCCTGAGATGTAGTTGAACAGGACAAGTTTGATGTATGCAGAAGTACTTTCAGAAAACAGAAAACTCATCAGGTACACGAGGGGAATAGAAGACCAGCCGTACAATGTAAAGATCAACATTGTTTCCAGAAAGTGGTACTCCATGACAAAAATTTCAACTTTATGGTACTTGAATATTCCCTGAAACACAGGGTAGAAGGTAGTGAGATAAAAGCAAGACGAATGCTGTAAGTACAAATGTAAACCATGCCAGAGTGTTCAGAGAGGAAAATACCAAGTCCTACCTTAATTTACCAGGCAAGTATTCATCATTTAGGTTAATGTGCCTCATAAAAATCTAGAGGCTCTCAGCATAAATTAAGATGCTTGCACCTCTTCTTCACTGGAGTGTTTTCAGGTGAGCAGAGCTTTTTGTTTTCTACTTGGAACAGTGTTTTTGAAAAACTTATACACAAAATCTATACATTTTATCCCAATAGTGCCAGTGATAAACTTCCAGAAATTATTTCTCTTTAAAAACACTATTTTTCTAAAGATTTTCATGTGATTTCATAACCTGTCACTGTTATCCATCATCTTTCCTCTTTAAAATACTTTCTGATTTCAGTCTACTCCTCATGTCCACCCACTTCAGGCCCTCCTACTTAAATATGTGTATTTAAAACTGAAAATCAGATGGTGAAACACAAGTTAGAGGGAGTTAAATGACAATGGATGATGATGAAGAGGAACCTGTAAGCTGTTAAAGGAAATAAATTTCTGAAAATCTTTGTCTCATTGATTAGTAACTACAGTTTCTTCATAAATGACAGAAGTGTCTCTTTCGACTATTATATGATAATGCAGCAGTACACCCAAGAAGCGGATAGCTAGAATATAAGACTGGATCCAGCAGTCCTGTATTACTTTCCTACTGAAAATTTTTACTTCAGTGTACTAGTAGCCAGCGTGTCTCAGTACCTTCCCCTGAGAGACACAGGAAGCAATCTAGGTGTTTGTCCACCTGGTATGACAAATAACGAGGTGTGTGCATGTGTACAAAAGTGGCAAACTGGAGTTTTTGCCTTCCTTATGCTCCAAGTACTATATTTACGCAAGCATCACAGAGGATCCAACAGACTCGCGCTATTCCAGGATTTGTTGTTTTTTTTTTAAGTTTTATTTGATTTTTCTGGTAGAAATAGCCAAATTCAGTACAGTGGCACAAGTTCCTGTGACAGTGAAATGGAGCAAGAATCAACCGATACACAGGGAATGCAGATCTCCTTGATTCAGATGACCAAGAAAAACAGCAATGTGAGTACATACTTCACTATCTGAAACTTAATGCTGCTGCACATTATTAATATTTACTACTTTCACTTGGTAATATTTGTAACTCAGTCAGACATAGCATCTCACTGTCGTAGGAGATTTTTGTTTTGTCTTGTTTTGTGGTACTAGGACTGAACCCAAAGCCTTTGCACTGAGATGCACCCCTGTCCTTAGGCCTTTGTTTTGAGACAGGGTCACTCTCCTAAGATTCTCTTGCTTCAGCCTCCAGAGTTCCAGGATACAGATGCGTACCTTGATGGCAGCTTTTGAGTTCTCATTATCTTGATAAATTTTCATGAAGTTAGACATTTTTAATGTATATTTTTAATTTTTGTTGCCTTTTATTGACAACAATGATTACTTGACTATAAAAAACAAAACAAAACAAAAATGCCTTTACTAACTAATGAAGTTCCTGAAACGCCAAACCTTCGTGGCTCCCTTTATATTCTCTTTCAGCCACTTCAGGACAGAACAGTGTTGTAAACTTAAGCCTGTTCCTTATTAATCCTGATGGTCGGTCGCATGCCTAACAGAAGGCTTTGGGTCCAATATGCAAAGGCCAAGATTAACCTGTGAGTGCGGCTTGATAATCATGCTCGCATGGAGATTTACTTTCTTCACATCTTTTCAAAACTCTCTAGCACCCGTGTAGAAGTTTCCAGACTGAATGCTGCTGACATGAGATACCAAGAAGATTTCAATAACTGAAAGCATTTCAATCTCAGGTAAATAACAAGTAATCAGTAGAAGCTTTTGGTATAGATATCCCTCCAATGGTGGGTAGCAGCCCAGAAAGCGAGCACTTTTGTAGTGAGTTTGGGCTTTGAGCCATGAGCAACTCCTTCCTAAGGAAGTAATTAATCTTCTCAGAAAGGAAAAATCAACTGGGATATCCTTGGAGCCATGAATTTTGCCACTGAGGACAACATGCTGAGACTATTGCTATCCATACAGGTATCTAAGAGCTTATTCAAAAGCAGGCTATGCTGTAAGACCTCCACAGTCTCGGGGGAATTCTGAAAACCTGGTAGATCCTGCAAAACCTCAAATGCCTGTCTGTAAAGTCTCTCGGCTACGATTTCACATGCAATTGTATGGAGCAAATTGTGTCAGTTGAGCACGTCGAGTCTCTCATGAGGCCAGAGTGGAGTGCTGATTATGCACTCTGATTCCTTCAGCACCCAAATGGCACTATCTAGGCTTCCACTTTTGAGACACATTTCCGTGGCAGTGTTCACAATTAGACAGCTTGGTGCTAACTTCGCAGGCCCCGCGAGTCCTCTTAAACTTGTAAAATGAATTTTAAACTCATACAGCTTGCCTAAGACCACCCTTCCCTTGGAGCACTGCAGCTTGTGTTAGAAGTACGGAGCCCTTATTGCAATTCTTCCCAGCAAAGCTGTATCTATTTCACTGTACGTGGACCTCTGATAACCATCTTAGCAACTCCTCACAAGGGGACACCCGCGCCTTCCTGACTCCCAGTCCCCTGGGAGTGTTCAGCAACACAGGCACGAGTTCTTCGGAAATCTGCAAACTTCACAGTCCCATTTCCCAGCAGTGTATACATTTCCTAATATGATGCAGTCACCTTTTTCTTTACAGTTCTCCACTTCATTCAAGGCTAAATCTAGATTGTGCTTCCAATTCTTGGTGAACTTCCCTATCTGTAATCTGGATTTGATTTTCAAAAGTGTAGGTATTCCTTGTTTGGAAGCCTGCAGTTGGCATTAGAGCTTAACAGTATAGATAAGTGTTCTGGGCCAAGCATTATCCCAGCATGCCGAGGCTCACTGCCTGAAACACGTCTTTCAATAAACAGTATTTGAGTGAAGGAAGCAGGAGCCCATGCGTACTTCACTAAGATGTACCCTGGGAGGAAACTCCCTGTAGTACTCCATAACTGCTTACCGCACATGGTAGCAAGCACAGTTGAGGCTGCTTATGTATTTCTTAAGTTCCTCTATGCTGTGTCCTTTCTTATGTTGTGTCCATTTTTGCCCTTGACTGTTATCCTGTGGGTGTCTTGCTGTTCAAAGTTTTCTTGCCTTTTTAATCAATTAATGCAGTTTATTGATGAAATAAATTTTGGGATGAATAAACATCTTTTTCTTTACAGTTAGTTCCTTGAATACTTTGTTTAAAAAATATTCCTAACAGCAAAGAAATACTATATTCTACTATTATGTCTACTATTACCTTTATAATTTTTTAAATTATATCACAATAAGAAATAATCTTTTAAATTATGCCACAATAAGTTTTTACACTTATGCCACAATAAGAAATTAAAGAAAAATCTCTTATCCAAAGAATAGAAATCTGTACACAACTTTGCCAGTCAATATACATAAACTGTACAAATCTGCACCAGTTCATAATTTACCAAGTGAAAGATGACTTAACAATGTTCCCCAAATTGATGGTGGCCTGTGGAAAAGTCTTTTATCCAGTTAGGTATGAGGAAAATTACAAACCGGAATTCCTGAAAATGAAGTTTACATTGTCTTAGAAAACTGCAAGCTAGCAAATGTGCAGCCCTGGCTGGGGCGCGCACCACAGGTGAGCAAGTTTTTTTTTTACAGCCTGCTGCCGTGGTGGATTCTGGCCACTGGTTATTTTCAAAGCTAAAACACAAAACAAGATCTGTCCATTTCCCAGGTTATGCTTACTAGTTTGTCTTTATGTACAACTGCACACATTTTAAGTGCTAAGTAAAGGTCTTGTCCTAAAATTTTCAGGGCTACCATATTTAAAACTGAGCTGCTAAAAAGCTTATCAGTAACCATTTTCAAGTTCACGAGTTATTAAATCACTGAAAGGTACCATCCGAACTATGGCACTACCACTTACTATGTCTTTTCTTCAACACTCTATCTTGTGCCAGAATGTCTTTGCTGTGACATGGTTTGAGTTCCATAACCCACTCCCAAGAGGAGCCCACCCAAGCAAAACCCAAGTGTGCCCATCCATCATAACATGATCCATCCATAGGCTGATCTTAGCTCAACACACTCATCGCACTGTACTTTAGAAAGGCTTGTTCTGCCCAAGAGAAGCTCCTCCTAGCAGCTTTCCTGGTCCACGCTGGGCCGAGGGTGCTGTTTGGAGCGATCCCTCCTGTGGGGAAGGCTTCATGAAGCACACAGCGGAAGCCCCCCTGACTCGGAAGGACTCTCGGGAGGGCCAAATTGGTGTGAGTCCACATAGGAGGGGCCTGACTGGCTCGCCCTGCTCAGCAAGGAGTCTGCTGTGCTGCTTGTGCGCTTTGCAGGTGGCTGGATCACCATGGCGACCTGGTCCCTCTGGGGCTTTCCCAGGAAGCAGTGATTACCACAGTGGTCTGCCAGCAGTTCCTGCAGGATCCGGCGGCAGGGTCTGCAGCTGTCCTTGGCTCCTGTGTCCATCAGGCCAAGGAACCTGGAGACAGGATGTGGCCTGCAGTGCGGTGGCAGCCACCTCTACTGTCACTGACCAGACTGAGAGGAAGAAGTTGTGAGGGGCCGGTGGTTCTTTTCTTTTGAGTAAAAAAAGTTATTTTTGAGATTGTGTGTGTGTGTGTGTGTGTGTGTGTGTGTGTGGTGCTGCAGGAGAGGGGACCAGATGAGTGCATCACAGGGAGCCCCAGCTGCCTCTGCCTCCCGCTCTTCCCCCTCCAAAACTCCCAAGTTGGTTCTCAGCCCTGCAAGGTGCCCAGTACCTTTCTAGTTTTTACATTCCTTTGGGTACCTGTGAAATGCATAGAATAGACTTTTGTATACAGTAGGAAATTAGGTATCAAGTCTATCACATCCAGAATAAATACAGTGCAATTTTATGTAAATTTTGAAAACAAGGTTAATATTTATTTATAACAAAATTCA